CATGTAGGTAATGCACCCGTGTCGTGTAATGCCTGTGGAGGTCAGAAGAGGCTATCGGATCCCCTGGGACTGGAGTTACTGACAGTTGGTAGCTGCTATGTGGATGCTGGGATTCAAACCCGGGTCTTCTGCAAGAACAACCAGTGTTCTTAACCACTGAGCCATCTCTCCAGCCCCCATTATTTTTATTTTATGTGTTTGAGTGTATTGCCTGCATGTGTGTATGAGAACCTGTGTTGTGCAATGCCCACAGAGGTTAGAAGAGGGTGTTGGATACCTACAAACTGGAGTTACGGATGGTTGTTAGCTGCCATGTGGGTGCTGGGCCCTGAACCCATGTCCTCTGCAAGAGCAGCCAGCGTTCTTAACTGCTGAGCCGTCTCTCCAGCCCCACAGCTTTCTTCCTTGATGGCCTGCTGTCTGCTTGTTCTCTGTGTCATATGCAGCGTTGAAAGCTCCTGTTATTGTTGAACTGTGCATTTTTCCTTCAATCCTATTTGCTTTTGGATCATGTATTTAGAGCTTTGTTAGTTTGTTAGGTGAAAGCGTCTACAATTCTTCTCGATGGGCTGACTCTTGTATTATGACCACCTTTGCCATTGTGATTTGTGCTAATTAGTCTCCCATCAGTACAGTGCCATTTAAGCTCTTTTTACTGCATTTTACATGGAATACTTTCCACATCATTTTATTCTCTATCTGTGCCTTTGAATCTAAATTGAATCTCTTGTAGACATATACTTGTATTAAAAAATCAAGTTAGTTAATCTGTATAAGTTAAACTTACATTTTATGTAATTATTATTATTATTATTATTATTATTATTTTTGGTCTTTTTGAGACAAGGTCTCCCTGTAGCCCCAGCTGGTCAGGAGCTTGCTGGGTAGAATGAGCTGGTCCCAATCTCAAAAAGATCTGAGTGCCTCTGCCTCTTGAGTGCTGGAACTAAAGGCATGCACCACCACGCCTGGCTATTTTATGTATACATACATATTTTTTTAATTATTGATTTAAGGTTTATTCCTGCCATTTTCATTTTACTTTTTTTAACCCTTCATGTTTTCCCTTCCTCCATTGCCTTCTTTTACCTCAAATACATACTTGCAGTGTATCATTAAAAATTCTGTATCTTTTGGGGCTGGAGAGATGGCTCAGCAGTTAAGGGCACTGACTTCTCTTGCAGAGGACCCGGGTTCGAGTCCCAGCACGCACATGGCAGCTACAAATGGTCCAGGGGAATCCGAAGCCCTCTTCTGACCTCTGTGGCATTGCATGACACAGGCGCATTCACATACATGCAGGCAATACACTCATGCACATAAAAAAATAAAAATGATAAAATATTTTTAAAATTCTGTTATCTTTTTAAATTTTTTTTATTTTATTTATTTTTATTGTGGTTGTGATGCATGTGTGCATACATGCCACAGTACACATGTGGAGGCCAGAGAGCAGCTTCGTGGAGTCAGTTCTCTCCATATCTAAGTGGGTTCAGGGATCCAACTCAGGTGATCAGATTTGTGCGACAAGCCTTTTCAACCCTGGCAATCTCATCCGCCCCAATTTATTTTCTGAATGGTTGCCTTGAAGGTTGTAATTCATAATTTATCATAGTGGAGCTCAGATTAGGACCAGTTTCATTCCAACAGCACATACAAACTGTTCTTGTCACAAACTACATCTTTATACATTGCGACCTCACTACCATAAGCTTATGCAGCTGTCTTTTCACTTACACATGAAAAAAATAGAAAAGGGAAAATACACAATGTAGCCTTTTGTATTTATTTGGTCGGTACTGACCTTCATTTGAAGTTACTGTCCAGTCTCCTTCCATCTCGGCCTCCAGGACCCCATTAACAGCCCTTTACTTCTTTCACTTTTTGTGGTACTGGGGATTGAACTTAGCGCCTCAAGAATGTTAGGCGAGCACCCTACCAGAGAGCTATATTCCTAGCCCTCTGCTAGGTTAATTAGGCAGGCCTCACATCTTTCAAAACAACGCATCTGTTGTCCGTTTTCTCCATTCCATCCATTTGTTTTTTCCTATCATAGTTTCCAAAAATCTTGGACGAGGGAAACAGAGGCTTTTAACCAGCTGCTGTCGCACACTGGGGAGCATTTGGGAGACTGCGAAGGCGCCGATTTCTCAGTGTGGCTCAGGAGACTGGGGCAGATGTAGGGTCCACCATTTTTCTTTTCACCAATATTTGAAGTACATGATGCTGATTTCTCTTGGTTAGTTGTAGTTAAAGTATCTGTTGGCTTTGACTTTTCTGATGCTTGTCTGTCGCTATGGGGGAGGAAGTCTCTGAGGACATTTGGAACATTAGGAAACATTTTGCTCATGAGCTAAGTGATAGGTAAAAAGTTGGTGGAGAGCGAGCGAATGGAGGCTGAGGCACCGAGGCACAGCTAAAACTCCATCAAAATAGGGTTTATTGGCAAAGGAACACATGGGACAGATTCCCTTCCGGGCAGGGAAAATGTCCTCCCTGGTTTTGGGCTGGGGTCTTTTTAAAAGGGAGGCTTCTGCTTCTAGCAGAAGGCGGGAAAATGTTTTTTTTTTTTTTTTTAAAGTTGGGTAGGAGTGGGAGAGCGAGACTGTTAAAACCTGTGCTCTTTAGAGATCAAAGGGGAAGCCTGCTGTGTTGGCCAAACAGTGGAGAAAAGTCGGCTTCCCTTGACTTCAAAGACCAAGATGCTTATCAGCTAGGTTCCCTTTTCTCAGGAGCATGAGAAGTCCTTGGGATCCTGCTGGTGAGGGGGCGGGGCTATCTGAACCTTAACTCCTGAGTGGTAACCGTTTCAAATCCCTTCAGCAGTGGCCCTGTGTGCTGGTAATTCGGTGGAACACATTTAGCAGTCTGCCCTCACTGTGTGTATTCCTATACCTCCTGTACACATCTGAGTTCTTGTGGGGTTTCCTGCATGATAAGCCAGTCTGGCACCACCCCATAGCTTGACAGAGATGATGTCCCAGTGTCTCAGATGGCTTCCTATAGACCCGTGTCTGAGATCAGGTCCTTTCTTCATGAGATAAAATCTTCAGGATGGGTCTGTCTGGGGCTCCGGGAAGATGTGTGATTTATACAAAAAACCTATGATTCTGTCATTCTGGGCATCTTCTGTCCAGTTCATGGGATTTGAGAACTGAGAAAACAGATGGTTTTTCTAAAGACTTTTAGCAACGGCACATTTCTAGTCACATGTGTGTCACCATGACAAAATATCTGACAGAACACCTTGTGGGAAGATAGGATTCATTTTGCCTCACAGTTTCTGAGAGCTGTGGTCCATCACAGGGGGAGGCCATTGCAGAGTGGCTCAGTCTGTGGAGGTCGGAGCAGGTGGTGGAGGCTTCTCACATCACAGCAAGGCAAGAAGCAGCAGGTGACAGGAACTAGGGGCCAAGCTATAACTTTCAAAGGCCTGCTCCTAGCAACGGACTTCCACCAGCTAAGCCCCACCTCTTAAAAGTTCCACAACATCTCAAACCACCAGCCAAGGAACAAGTGTTCAAAACCAGAGCCTGTAGAAGACATTTCAGAGCCAAACCCTGGCAAGGTTGTTGATGCAATGTGTCAAGTCCACTAGGAAAAGCAATTAAAGACCAACACCTGCTGGGCACAGTGGCCTATGCCTGTAAACCCTGTGCTCAGGAGGCTGAGATGGGAGGATCACTTGAGCCCATGAGTTTCAGACCAGCTTGGGTAACCTACTGAGAGACATCTCAAAATAAAGAAGGAAAAAAAAAAGAGGAATAGCAGCCTGTTTGGAATTCTCTAGTACGTAGGAAATTGAATGCTAGTAGCCAAGAACAGGAAGGTCACGGTTGGGAGCAAACCCTTCACTTTACTTTGGGAGTACATGCTTGATATGCAGCTGAGGCTGGGCTTCAACCCACGATCCTGTCTCAGGTTCCAAGGGCTGGGTTACAGATCCACACCACCGTCCTGCGCCACCGTCCTGCGTTCCTTGCCTTCACTTTGACCTGTGGCTTTTTTAAAAACTTGCTTCCCCATCTTCTCTCCTTGCCCCTCACATCTGTGCTGGTTCCTAGTGCTCACAGGCCTTCACTGAGTACCTCGCCACTCACATGTCCCTCTCTGAACTCTGCAGCTCCTGGAAGTTAGCTCATCAGGAACCTAGCACAGAGCCTAGTCTGAAGGGCATGGACAACCTACTCAATGTTCCGGATGCTCTGTGCCATAGCCCTCCGGAGCCAGAGGCCACTGGTTCTATTATGTAGCATGCCCCGTGAGTTGTCCATCAACACCAGAGCTTTGGGCACAGGTCTACGCACACCGCCTAGAACAGATCGCCTTGTGACAGATTGTACGTATATGTCCGAGGGGCCCTGTACATCACCCTCAACCCAGTCCTCTCTGCCCTACCACCTACTCAGAAACTTCAGGGACCATTTCAAACAGGCTCTGGGCAGCTTTGCTGAGGCCCAGCCTGACTGACCTCCTTGGGTCTGCCACGTACAGGCCTCTTGCTTTCCATGCAAGCGACAGGATATGCCACTCACGCCTGTGCAACCCAGGAATGTGGGGAGCGGACACCTTCACTGGTGTCTTTGCTGAATTGGTGACAACAGGCAAATGCTCCCCACTTTTCTCCATGGTGCAGAGGCCATGTCGGTTCTTGCTGGTGGAGCACCTACCCGTGGTGCTGCCCAGTCTGATAATGAACCCTAGCACTGGGCAGCACTCCTTTCCTGTCTTTATTCCTGTCCCCCAGAGTCTTGTTCCCAGGTGAACTACGTAACTGTACCGAAGCTCTGGGCTCAGGCTCTGAATGAATTGAGACCTTGAACAGAAGGCTGGTGCAATTTAGAGTTAATATTGGGTAGATTTCTAGTACATTGTACTAGTTAACTCTTAACCTCACAATCTAAGCCCAAACCACTGCTAGGATGAGTCAAAGTTAACAGAAGAGTCATGTGCTGGTGTGGCAAGGGCCCACCAAATGCTAGAAAGAAAACCTGCAGGCATTGAAAAAAAATCATTGTTTATTAAAACTGTCTCATTGCTGAAGGCACTTCAGAAGCTTCCACAAAATATACTGTTTGTTTTTCTTTTTAAAAACAAAACTAAACAAAACAAAAACAGGCAAAGCGTGAGCTTTTGGAGTATCACAGCAACATAATCAGAAGAGAAGACAAATACTCCGGACACAAAACACGTGCCAATGTTCCCTGACGGGAGTGAGCAACTCTGGAAGGCTGTGAGCATGATTTTCCTTTCTGTCTTAGAGTTTTCCCCATGATTAGGTATCACAAAAGGAGGCACAATGAGGTTGCTGCCACTCGGAGCAGCACTAGTGGCTAAGGCTGGGAAGGCCCTGAACTGTGGCAATCACACACCACTGTCAGAGGGATTCTGGGCTGAGAAATAAGGACACAAACCAGGAGACTAAGGAGCTAGTCATTCCCAAGTCTCTGCTGAAGGGCAAATAACTTAAGGTGATGATGCAACAGAAATGACAAACAACAGAATCAGACCCTCAAATACAGTGCTGAGAAGGGACAACCCAGTCACACAGTTCCTTCAAGCCACAGACACGCAGCCACAGGAGCCAGGAAGCCCCACTTAACACTGTAGTGGAAAACAAGAATTAGATTCAACGATGTACTTCTCATGGGCCTGCACAGGCTCAGTGTTTGGATCAGACGTAAACAGCACACCTGGCAGTGGGACTGAGCAGTCGCAAGCAGCACACCTGGCAGTGGGACTGAGCAGTCGCAAGCCCCACATTTGCCTACATTCTGTACCTGCCCGGTCTTCTCTACCTTAACTTCCTGTAGGTTACCCTAGGTCTTGTGTGCTTCTGTAAATCAAAACCATCCCAGTTACTGTCTTTCTAACTGAGAAAAGATGAGAAATTAAATGCCTTGTGGAAGCATTTCTTTTCGGAAAAGAAATGTTTTGTTTCTTTCTGGTGCTTGGGACTGAACTCGGGCTGTGCATCCCGGCAGGCGGGCCCTCTACTGCTGAGCTCTGTGGGCTCCTTGTTCTCTGAGTCCACCACTTAGGGAGAGAAGAGGAAAGCTCAGACATCCAGTTTTATTTGGGACCTTTTCAGGTCTTCTGAAGTTAAAGCGCATGTCGACCAGTTGTCCTTCATAGTCTTCCAAGTTCCACTGTTCAAGGGAATCATTAACTTCTTTGGAAAGAAGGGCCAGGTCCACCATGGTGTGTCAGGATGTGTAAGCCATCTTCAGGCAGCCATGGTGTCCCTGGAGGAAGGCAGCTCTCCAGAACCATGCGACCCTCACAGTCTGAGTTCCCACCCATGAGCAAGTCAGACACAAGGTCAACAGAACAGAAAAGCCCTCTGTCACTGAGCACGTGTCTGACAAGATGCAGGCTTCCCTGTCCGGCTCTTTCTCACCTGCGGAGCTGCTGCCTGTGAAGATGGTGTTAAAGGGGTGTGCTTTTAAGGACTGTAGGGCTGGCTTCATCAGCTTTTACCATCCTTGTGTGGTTTTGGGTTTCTCTATGTTTTATTCTATTAAAACAAGTGAAACAAATGTCAGTAACAGATCTTAAAAAGATATTTACCAGTTTCAGAACAGACAGACTGTGTCTGGGGAAAAGCAGCACGAGGCAGATTCTAAAGTTTCCCTGGTCTCTGCTGCTGTCATGGGGTGCCCATGCTCACAAGGACCAGACTACTGTCCTTTCTAACCCAAAGGTTACACCAGTGCAAGTTATTTGTGAGACAGAGTCTGCAGGGAGCATCACAAGGGGCTCCACTTCAAGGGGCCTCTAAGACCTGGCCAGGCCCAGACCCAACACATCCACTCTGTGAGGAAGGACGCTGCTTACCCTTTGACCTTTAGCATCTGGTCGATAGTGTCTGGGAGAGGGACACCGAAGCTCTCTGGGAAGAACAAGGTGAGGACTGCCGTCAGGACAGTCAGACCTCCCATGAGGATGTAAGGCAGGAAGCGGTCATAGGAACCTGTGGCAGGGCAGAGGGCCAGGCCCAGGTTACAGTGAGACTTGGTCTCCCTCCAGCCTGGTGTTCTCTTGGGACCCTGTGAAGGACTCACCTTCCTTGCTGGCCTCAGGGCTTCCTAGACTGGGCTGCCAGATGGAAATCTGGAATCTAGGCAGCCTCAGAACCCAGACCCAGCACACATGTGCCTCCCAGGTCCAGCTGTGCTCCCACTAGGCGGGGGTGGGGTGGGGTGGGGGCTGCAGGAGAGCCGCGGCATCAGAGGCATTCTTCCTGTTTCCCAATGCTAGGTTGGCAAGGAACATCAGGTACTTATCCAGGGACAGGAGATGACTCTCCACCTCTATAGATGTGCCACAAGCTGCCTGGTTTGCCTTTAGCTTAGACAAGATGCTGCTGCATGTTAGAGCTGACTACTCGCTACTCCCAGGGACCCGGTAGGTCCTCTCCAGAGCAAGGGACGTGCAGCGGAAGAGCAGCTGCCAGCAGGCAACACTTCTGAGGAGGAGAAACTGGTGTCTACTACATCAAATGCCATAAGGCAGATCTTTACAGGGCATAACGCCACTGCGTGAAGTGTGCCAAGGACAGACTTCAGGAGGCGGAGGCAAGAGGGTTTCAAGTTCAAGGGCTCCTGGAGTTAAAGAGTCTAAGTCCAATGTCTCAAATGAAACGTCTCAAGGAAAGAAACAAATGAAGCGCTCGAAGCTCCGTTACAGCAATGCTCCGTTCATCAGACCTCTGACACGGACAGCTTTCTCCTCATGCTCCTAGTTCTAAGAAGAAGTCTCTCTAGAGAAGAACACTGGCTCCCTAAAGCACTTCTTAGGATAAAGAAGTTGTACCTTCCAATGGAAGGTCCAGGAGACTGCAGCATCCCTCCCCTCACACCTTCCCATCCACACCCAGCAGGGTACAGGCTATTTTCCGTTTGCAAGTGAGTGCCTCCCCTACAGTCCACCTGGGCACGACCCCTGCCTCCAGCCCCCAGGATGGAAGCATGCTACTTCCTGTTCCTGCTTGTTTTCCTATTAAGCAGTCTCTAGCTCATGTTAAAGTTCCTCATGCTTCTGCCCTTTGTTCCAGTGCGCCACGGGACTTACCAAGGTAAATGAAGTAGGGAGACAGGATGCTGCCGAGGCGGGATGCTGTGGAGCTGACACCAACACCCATGTTCCTGACCACAGTGGGGTACAGCTCGGCTGTGTATACATACACCATGGCAAAGGCAGCGGTGACTCCAAACTTGCCTATCATCACCAGGGTGGTCGCCACATATGCCAACTCTGGAGAAGCAGAGGAAAGAAGGCAAAGGTGAGAGGTGCCAGTCCCAGGTATGCGCTGCTGAGTTCCATTCCTTTTTAGCCTAAAATGAACTTCCTTTCTCCCGATTTGGGGTGCAGAGGGTTGGGTCAGTTTCTATAACTTCCTCTTGAGAGAAGCGGTCATAGTTGAGATTTCCCTCTAAGGTGACTACTATTTCTGAAAGGAGACTGGACACCTCAGCTTTGTGAGGACATGTAGTTCCTCAACCCACCTCATCTCCAGTCAGCCTATGTTGGAGATGAGCAGCCTTGTCAGAACCACACTGAGGCCTTTATGTGAGCAGGGAATCCAGGTTTAGCTCATTTCATGCTTGCATGATACTAAAATATTCACAGACTTGGGCTGGCGAAACAGCTCTGCAGGCAAGAGCATTTACTGCCAAGCCCGACAACCCGAGCTACAATTCCTGGGATCCACATGGTAGAAGGGGGTGAACTGACACCCCCCATACCTGCAAATTATTTTCTGGCCTCTACACATGCACTGTGGTACACACATGTCCCCCAAATAAATAAATGTAATAAATTCATTGAAAAAAGTTCACAGATCATCTGAACTTGGGGATGATCTTCCAGTCTACCTTCTCCACCTAATGAGGGTGCGCTGAGCGACCTATAGGTTACTGAACTCAGGTGAGAAAGGCTACAGCCACTGGGTGTTCCTTTGGCCATACAATGGGCTGTTCTTGTGCAGAGGGGTCCCAGTAAGACAGGCCCCAAAGTGACCAGAAGAGGTTCCAAAATCCACGGGGACATGGTCAACTCTGGCACAGTGATGGACAGAGAGGGCCTGCCATCTGTCTAGAAGTTGTCAGAAAGGGCTCCATTGGCCCTTTAGTGAGATACCAAGGTGGTTTTAGTAGGATGGTCCTGCCATAGCCTCAGGACCGCTCCTTCCTCTCTTCATCTCTTGCTGGGCCCTTCTTAGCCCTGAAGCAGGCTGGACTCACTCCCTGTCAGAGCTCTCCCCTTTCCTATTTTTGTTTTTAAAAAACAGGGTCTTGGGCTGGAGAGATGGCTCAGCATTTAAGAATACTGACTGTTCTTAACCGGGTTTCAATCCCAGCACCCACATGGCAGCTAACAACTGTCTATAACTCCAGTTCCAGGGGATCCGATAGTCTCTTCTGTCCTCTGTGGGCACTGCATGATACAGGTGCACTTACCTATATACAGGCAATATACGTATACACATAAAATAAAAATAATAAAAAATAAAATTAAAAAACAAGGTCTCATGTAGCTCAGGCTGGCCTCAAATTCCCTATGTAGCCAAGGGTGACCCTGAGCTTCTGATCCTCCTACTTCCACCTCCTGAGTGCTGGGATGACAGGCGTGAGCCACCAGGCCTGGCTCTGCTCTTTAACCTTCTCTGCCATTTAAAATCATGGAGCACCCCCGTTCTGTTCTTTCATGCAACCTTCCGTGGAACGCCTCTCTTCAGGGGCGCTGTCCCTGACTGCTCTACTTAGATGAGCTCTCCGATGTCCTCTATTTTCACTCACCTGAAAAGTAATGCGCATTTTATGAGCTTGTTTGTTGTCTTCACTAGGACTTGAACTCCTCGTGGGCCCAGGGTTTTGCCTGACTTGATACTTCTATATTATTAGTACCAAGCCTGGGAGCCTAACCCACAGAAGGCACTCTCTAGCTACTGGTTAAATAAATAAATAAAACAGGGCCAGAGGTGAGGGGCAACTACCAAAGAACTCTCTTTCCTCTTCTGATTCTAGAGAGGAAACCAAATATGAATACATTAACTTGGGTCTAGGGTAAAATTAGCCAAAGGCCCAATGCTTGTTTCTTCCCACTCGCCAAAGCCCAGGCTAGACAATGCCCTGGTTTCAAGAGGTACAGGGTGAGTGACGCACTGAAGACCAGGACTGCTGATGCACACAGTCCCTACCTGAGGGCACGAGCTTCACGAAGAGAAGGACAACGCCACCCAGGAAGAGGGAAGCAGACATGGAATGGCGCCGGGGCAGACACCGCAGCAGCAGCCAGGCCAACACGTAGGCTGGGACTTCAACTGCTGCCGAAAGGAAGCAGTTCAAGTAGATGTCCCCATTCAAGTTGGGAGTGTCAAGTGAAAGTCCGAAATAGCCCACTGCGATGGTCAGCCTGCAATGGGGGCAGAGAAAGATACAGAAGTGGCATCCATCTCTCCAGAACATCCATAAAGAGCACGTCTCAGCAAGGGGCTTATACTACTCAGACTGATTTAATTACCCAGAAAAAAGTCCCAACCTGCCTTTCAGCATTAAAATCTCAAGCTAAGCATTAACAGAAGCCCAAGTTCCTATTCTATGAACCAAACACAGTGACTGCAGGAGGAGCCAGAGAACAAGTTATGGGCTGAGTGAGGTGTGACAGGGGAGGAGGACTCTCAGTAGACTACTTCTGGTGACCAGCCAGGAAGAGGCTGACAGCACCCCTACTGTGCTTATGGAGATGAGAGGGCGTTCCGGACAGTGGGGTCATACTGTCTCCTTGTACACCATCCCCGCCCCCCATGCCTGGCTCTATTCCCCTTAAGTGCTCTCTGCTGATGACGTGAACTTTTCGGCAAACAAGACTATTTTTGATTCATGTACAGGTTGAAAACACAGCGGTACAGTGGAGGAAAAGAGCAGGTCCAAGAGTCCCTGGGAAATCCAGAGCAGGAGAAGAGCATGGTGACTCATCGCAGGCTGGTGAGTCTGAGGTGTGGTCTCCATGCTGGTACTGTCGTGAGGCAGACGTGGGGAGTGGTGTACTGCCCTGAGGCATCCTGAGCCATTCCTTGGAAATGGGGGGCTCATAGACCGAACCACCCCAACAAACAAAAGAACAAAATCCATTAAACAAACTGGCCAGCTGCCCCATGAAACCGGCCTCAAGCGGCTACCACTCACCCAGCACTCCAGGAGTCTCCTGTAAGTCTGTAAGTCTGGGCCTGGCAAAAGACAGCCAGCCGCTTAGCCACGTTCTTTCTCCCTGGTGACTCAAATTCCTTCGACACCTGTGAAATGCCTTGTCAGGAGGGTCTGTAAGCATCCCACAAAGGCCATGTCCCACTTCCACATTGCCAGAACGCTCTTAGCAGCCCCTGCAACCTAAAGGATAAGGTGTGTTCACTGAGACCCATTTTCAAAGCCCTAACTATTGTAGCCAAAGAATACAGGTCATCAACAGAGAGCCCTCAGGAACAGGGGCGGCCTGAGGGGCAAGCAAATGAGAGGCAACATGGCCCCACGGTAGGGAGCTTCCTCTCCCTTCAGTAGAGTTGCTGCTATCTTCTTCCTGGCTGGTCACCAGATAAGACTGAGGGGACAGAAGACAGGAATAGCTAAGCAAGAACCTGAAGTCAGCGATGATGTGCCTTGGGACCGGAAAGAATTCCCCAAAGATTCCTAGATGCCAAAATACCGCCATGGTAATTTTCTCCTCTTTTGGGTTTCCATCACATTAAGAATGTTGATGTGCCCATTGCTTCCATCCATCACAAGGTACACCCTGAACTATGTGGTGATACAGGCTTTCAGTTTGGGTTCGAGGCCTGTCTAAAAATGGCAGGCCTGACAGCCACCCCCAGAAACCTCGTTGACAAAACTCACACGGGACTCAAATACGCACCACAGGATTATGGATATGATGGTGACTGCCCGGATGTTGCTGGTTAGGATCAGATCCTGAATGGAGTGGGACTGATGCTTCTTGGAATTTAGGTCTTGTAACTGCAGGAACAACATGGTTAATGGTACAGGAGGGAGAGAAGGTTGAAGGAGGCCGTACAGCAGCAAGCATACCTGGGACCTGCCATTCTCACTAGTTACTTCTTGGAGGTGGGGAGATTTGACAGCTCTTCCTTAGAAAAAACAGGAAGCACAGTGATTGAATGGGGCTGCCGAGGGCTTCGCCAATGGCAAACTGGAGCGAAGGGGAAGGAGAATGGGGAAAGCCAAGTCCCTCAAAGAGCACAGCAAGGGCCAGTGCCCACACTGACAACCACCTCCTTGTACCACCCTGTCCACTCTCAGTGGCCACACCCCAGGGAGGCCTCTGAGCATTCCTTCCCAAGGCTGGCCCCTGCGCTCTGAGTCACAGAGGGAAACTGGCTGTGCAGTTTATTGGTATGATATTTAAAAGGAATTCATGTTTTGATTCCTCATACCATGTAGTTACTGGTCTACTTCCAGGAGAAAAAAATTCAAATTGAAAAACAGGAAAATTGACCTGAACTTCACCCAGAGTAACTTCCTATGAAATTCACCACAGCCAAGGCCATTAATAAACCGCATGTCTAAACACACTGATGTTGCTTTCTTAAGCAAACCCAGCTTTGGAGCTTGTTTTTCTCAAGTTAGTAGTTCAACAAAAGGTCAACTCTGGACTGAGAGAATCCTCTGAAATGGACTCATCTCCTCAGTGATGCCAATGAGACTTGCAGTTCACCCAGACTGACCACCTTACTCAAAAACCACCAAAGCCACTTCGCTTAGAAGTCCTCTCAGCCACATTCCAGCCCTGACTTGTGTGCTACAGTCCTTCCCCGGGCAGGCATGCTGAACGAGAGCTCTTGCCAGGCCACCACTTCAGGGGGACGCTAGCAGGGCTGTTGGTGGACAGCTGCCTCTTGGCTGCCTGGAACAACCGGTTCGTCTCTCTTGCAAGCCCCAAATTCACACTGTGCACCCTGAGCCTCTCCAACATGCCGCTGCTCTCACTTCAGCTGTTCCCATAGCCAGTCCCTTGTCTTCTCAGACCAGAGAACAGTCAGCATTTGCTGAAGAAAACTGCATGCTGCTGAACAGGGCAGGAGGGACAGGAAGAAGCCAGAACCAGGAGCCAGACAGAGCCAATTACAGCCTGAGAACAGGGAAAAGGGGGCCATCGGAAAGGACCTGGCTCCAAGGTGATGTACAACAAGTAACCAGCAGAGGGTGGGGAGAGACTCTCTGAGGAGAGAGCCCTGCTAAGTACAGATCTAGCTGTGCTCCAGTTATCTTTAGATGACAAATCCCTGAGGCATAAGAAACAATGGCCTCCCACAATGCTGAAGTTGTAGAAAGCCTGTTTCTCACAAGGGTGTTTATCATTAAAATGATAGTAACGGTTAAACCAGGTGTGGTGGTACATGCTTTGAATTCTAGCACATGGGAGGCAGAAGCAGGAAGATCTCTGTGAATTTAAGGCCAGACTGGTCTACATCATGTTGCAGGCCAGTTAAGGCTGCATAGTGAGACCTTATAAAAAAATCACTATGAAAGGAAGAAAGCATGTGTGCTGGGTAGCTTTAGTGTCAACTTGACACACCTGGGCTGAGGGAGCCTCAATTGGGGAATTGCCTCTATTGGACTGGCCTGTGGCCATGTCTGAAGGGCATCTTCTTGATGAGTGATGTGGGAGGGCCCAGCCCACTGTGGGTGGTGCCACCCCTGGGCAGGTGGGCCTGTGTTGCATAAGAAAGCAGGCTGAGCAGCGGCCAAGGGAGCAAGCCAGTAAGCAGCGTTCCTCCATGGCCTGTGCTTCAGCTCCTGCTTCCAGGTTCCTGCCCTGAGTTCCTACCTTGGGCTCCTGGATGAACTGTGACCTGGGAGATGTAAGCTGAATAAACCCTTTCCTCCCCAAGTTGGTAGTGGTCAGAGTATTTTGTCACAGCAATGAAGAAACAAACCAGGACAGCACGCAAATTTAAAATTCAAGTAGGGAAAAAGAATTAGGTCATTGGAACCTATCACTCAACTTCTGAGGTTCTGAGTTCCTACCTTGGGCTCCTGGATGAACTGTGACCTGGGAGATGTAAGCTGAATAAACCCTTTCCTCCCCAAGTTGGTAGTGGTCAGAGTATTTTGTCACAGCAATGAAGAAACAAACCAGGACAGCACGCAAATTTAAAATTCAAGTAGGGAAAAAGAATTAGGTCATTGGAACCTATCACTCAGCTTCTGAGGTTTGTGTGTGTGTGTGTGTGTGTGCCAGAGGTTGACCCTGGGTGCTGCCTTCAATTACTTTTCCACCTTATTTTTTAGGATAAGACCCTCCCCTGAACGCAGAGCTCACTGATTGGCTAGTCTGGCTGGACACCAAAGCTCCTGGGACGCTCCAGCTTCTACCTCCCCAGTGCTGGAATTACAGGTGCCCTCTGCTATGTCTGACTTTTCAGGTGGCTGCTGGGGACATGAACTCAGTCCTCATGCTTACATGGCAAACACTTTATAGACTGAGCCATCTCCTTATGCCCTCAATTTCCAAGGTTTAGCAGACTCCTCTTTGAGGGACTGTTGGGTTTGAGCAGGGCAAGGGCTGGGTTCATATGAGCTGCACTGTATGCTGCTGCCTACACGGCCAGTACGAGCCTCCCCACCGTTCCCATATGGTACTAACCTCATTTGGATCAAAGATGATGGAGGGTGCAACAATCCCATTGGTTTTGGCAGCCTTGCGGATGATTACCTCTGCCTCTTTAATTCGCCCTTGAGAGATGAGCCACCGGGGGGACTCGGGGATGAACCTGGAAGCACAAGGCCCATTCAATGCTGTTCCAGAGCCTGGGTACAACTTAGGAAGGGATGGGAAACGAGGTTTCAGACCCAGAGCTGGGTTTGTGGAATATCTGGGGCTCACAAGTAAGAAACAGATGGCCCAAATCCAGATGACCTGAGCAATGAGCTCTGCATACACTGACTGTAGTGAACAAGACCTGGAGTCCTGCACTCTCAAGAGGATCCCCACCCTGGCTGGCCACCTGCATTTCTGAAGTGGTGGTGGACCCTGCTGGACTCTAAGGAGACAGGTGCAACAGGTGCTCCTGAAGCCAGACTTCTGCTGATGGCGGGGCTAGCTCAGAAACTTCTGCAGTGGCCACTTGATGTGCATTTCTCCCTGACTTCACACCTGATTTAAACAACCCTGTCAGCTGCATAGCACTGCACGGTTATCAGGGCACCTGAGTGCTTGGAGTCTTTGTAGATATGTTCCACATCATCGTGACGAGGCAGCCCTCATCCTTCTGTTATAATCAGGACCCATGATGCACTGCTTCCCCCCTGATTACTCCAAGGTGCTCTCCACTCCATGTGGAATGGGATCTCACCTTCATCTACTTGAAGGCGTGATTTCTGCCTGGCTCCTCTGCCATGGTCCTGCCTTGGTTTGGAATAGCCTCTGCTTGTCTGCCCTGCCCAACCCATCTCTGATGGAGGCACAACTGGGGCGTGCCTTCATCTGGACAGCCACTCTAAGATGCTCACTCTTGGAGCTCTCCCTGTCTCCCAATGCCTGTGGCATGAGGCCTCAGCAACAATAGCTGGAGCCGAGGTCCTGCTGTACTGCCCTGGGAGCTGAGAACTTCCCAGTGGTTCCACTGGACTCCGTTGGTTCACAGCAACTTCTTCCTCTCTCTGCACTTAGAACAATCTAGAATAGGGTAGAAGACAAGCCTGCTTATGCCTTGGGATTGTTCGGTCTGGTTCTTCTGAGTGTGGAGAGATATTCTGAAACAATTTATAAATAAGCTACACTTCCTGTCTCTGGAAGCTGGAACTCGGATTTGGGGGCTGCTGCTGCCCTCTAGTGGAAGCGAGAAGGAAACCACCCTGCAGGGAGGCATCCCAGGGGGCAGGGCCACACTCACCACCAGAGAAACCCACAGAGCACCCCTGGTACATTTAGGGACAGCAGCAACATCCGCCAGGTTCGGAGGAAGTAGGCAAACAGCGGCAACACCATGAAGCCAAATGCATAAAATATGCACACTCCTAATGTGGCGAATATAATGCGAACTGACTTGCTAAGAATTTCTGTTCCTGTTCAAAAGAAGGGAGGAGTCAAGTTAGTAGTTAATGTGGGTTATTTCCCCATGAATCGTGGTGGTATCATTTTCAACAGAGACAAAAGGAAGCCAGAATTAGCTCTGTATTCCTGAGCACTTGGGAGGGGTTGACTAGGAATCGGTTCACTTTGGTTCTTTCCTGGGGTGTTTCACTGAGGCCCTTGGCCACAGTCATGAAAATTTCATCATTATCCTCAGCCACATGCTAAACATGCATTTTAGGCCCCTATAAACCCTCACACAAGGAAGAATTCACTAAGGCAAAGTCATTACTAAGGCCACATATGCTAACTATTATCCTTCGAGGAAAAAATATTCTAGTAAATACGAAAAGAAGAAAAAAAATCCTTTCAACAATACAACCCAGGATGCCAATAATTTTATCAACTAGAATCTTCCAAACAGTGAGACAGGCAACTTTTCAGTGGGAACAAGGTGGCGTGTTTGAGTCAAAGCCTTGTAGGATAAACTCTGAACCAAAATGTGAACTGAATCTGTCAACTTGTTCCCCTTGGTAGACTGCAGGCCAGCGCACTCTGCAGAGGCGGCAGTCTCTTTCCTGGCAAGCCTGCCCATCATGGCCCTCACTTCCCCAGTGTGCCTCCCTCTCTCCTCAGCTACCTAAGTCCATGTAGTGCAAGCCTTTTAAAATGGGTGCTCCATGGTGAATCCTAGTTCAATGGCTTGTAGTACGAATAAGACCAAGGTGCCAAATCTCAGACCGGAAGAGGAACTGGACATCAGCAGTCAGGCTGTTGTGCCCCGGGACCCAAGAATGATCACCTGTCTGGCTCAATTTTCCTGTTGAGAAGTAAGCTAGGTTCACTAGGGAGCTCTAGCCACTTTCATCCAAGGGACATTGTAGCTGTCTCCAGAAAGGAGGGCATGGGATGGCAGTGAGACACAGGGTCAAGTACTCAGTTCCAACAGATGGTCATACCCAGGACAAATGCTGCCACGTAGTTGGAGATCTGGCCCATGCCTACGAAGATAAACAGCACGGTAAACATCTCGAAGTTCACTGAGAAGATCTGTAGGAAGCTGAAGACTGTCTGCATGCATATGGTCAAAAACAGCACGAACTTTCGACCAAACCTGGGGAAGAGAGGAGAGTTACAGAGAACCAGCTGAGTGAGGCAGCACTAACAGGCTCCATCGAGAGGGGCTTTCTCCTGACCACAAAGGGACAGACATCAGGGTAGTCCCACTCTCCCAGTTCACATGCTATCACTGCCCTTCACACTTGCCAGGATGAATGCGGAGCCTTGACACTCAAGTAGCCCCAAAGGCTGTCAGCCCCAAATGATGCTGATGACTGCAAGGGATACATTAGCTGTGCTTAAATTCACATATACGGGGCTGGAGAGATGGCCCAGCAGGTGGAGCACTGGCTGCTCTAGCAGAGGACTGGGGTTCAGATCCCAGCACCCACATGCTGGCTAACAACCATCTGTAACTCCAGTTCCAGGGGACCTGCCACTGCCCTCTTCTGACTTCTGTAGGCATTGCATGACTTGGGTGCACTTACATACATGCAGGCAATACACATAAAATAAAAACAATAAATAAAATAAAAAATAAATTCACACCGGGTGTGATGGCACCTGCCTTTAATTCCAGCACTCGGGAGGCAGAGACAGGCGGATCCCTGTGAGTTCAAGGCCAGCCTGGTCTACACAGTGAGTGCCAGGACAGCTGGGGCTACAGGGAGATCCTGTCTCAAAAAGACCAAAAAATAAAAATAAAAAAATTCACATATTCATATTTTTTAAAGACAAAGACAATTCATTTTATCCCGACTTTCCTTGATAAGTGACATGAACAACAGCCAACAACAGATGAAGGGAAGACGTGACTGTGAAAGCACTACAAGTGTTGAACAAAAAGGGAACAGATGTGGGTCACTATCATGATGCTGTCAAAGGGACTGACCGTAACCTGAGTCTCAGAATGCAGCTGCCTATCTGCAGGGATGAGGCTTAGCTGCACTGGGAATATGCAGTTGGCAAGATCTGGACAGGGAAAGTCTACAATGGAAATACTCGGGGTTCTTTAACAGACAAACTGTAAGGTAAAGAGATACAGGGAAAATTCACAGAATAAAGTAGACTAGTAGACACATTAAAATTTTGTAACGGATAAAGCTAACCTGGTATTTAAGAATATATATTTGGGACTGGGCATGGTAGCACACACCTTCCATCCTCGTCAGGATCTCTATGGGTTTGAAGACAGCCTGCTCTACATATAGAGTTCCAGGCCAGCCAGGAACAAAAACCAAAAAAACAAACACATTAAAAAAAACCACAAAACAACCCGATGTACATTTGAATGAAAAAAATTACCCCCCAAAGGAGTCTGGCGAGAATATAAAAAGACAGTCCTAAACTCCATAACCCTAAATGCCATAACTCTCAAGACCCAAATCTCCAAAGTGTCAAAATTCTGAAAAAAAGTTTGGCTTCTTGGCAGTGGTGAAGGGAGCAGCTTTGTTTTCCATCTATTCCCCCACCACACTGTTCTGTGTCACCTCCACCCTAGAAACAATAGGCTAAGAGACTGTGGGCTGGCTTCTAGAACTGTGACTCCAAATAAGTCCTTCCTCCTGAGGAGGACTTGATTTTCTTAGGGAGAAATTACAAACAGCTTTCTTACTTCAAGTTCACTGAACCACAAGAATTCTCACAAGTTTCATTCTGTGCTTGAACCCAGGGCCTTGAGCATACTAGGCAAGTGCTCTACCACTGTGCTACACACCAGTCCCATATTATTTAAAGTAAGTTTTTTATTTTGATTTGGTTTGGTTTTGGAGACAGGGCCTCCCTGTAGCTGTGGCTAGCCTGGAATTCTCTCTGTAGACCAGGCTGGCCTAGAACTCCCTAGAGTTCCCCTGCCTCTATCACCTGAGTACTGGATTAAAGATGTGCACCACCATGCCTGGCCAAAAGTGTTTCATAACAGAAACATATGGCTCTTCTATAAATGTGAAATTTAATGCATTTATTATAAGACATTATATTTTTAGGTTGCTTCATTAAAGACTTCCCAAGATACTTAACGAGGCCTTATTGCATAAAGTTGGAAAAACTTACATGTTCATAACAGTTATATACATAACTAAACGTCAACCCAACAGAATTTGTGACCTATGCTGCTTATAAATGCCTATATAATTTGTGGGCTGGAGAGATGGCTCAGCAGTTAAGAACACTAACTGGTTCTTTCAGAAGACCCAGGTTCGAATCCCAGCACCCACATGGCAGCTAACAACTGTCCATAACTCCAGTTCCAGGGGGTCCAACAGCCTCTTCTGGCCTCTGCAGGCACTGCATGACATGGGTGCACTTACCTACATGCAGGCAATACATGCATACACATAAAAAAAAAAAAAAGCCGGGCATGGTGGTGCACGCCTTTAATCCCAGCACTCGGGAGGCAGAGGCAGGCAGATCTCTGTGAGTTCAAGGCCAGCCTGGTCTACATAGTGAGTTCCAGGACAGCTGGGGATACAAGGAGACCCTGTCTCAAAAAAATAAATAAAATTAAATTAAAAATAAATGTCTATACAATTTGAAAGTTAACTGCACCAAGAATTATGTAGACTACAAAGAACAACAAAAATATACACAAGTAAAAAATACCAATGTGTAACTGTGTCACAGGCTTTACTTGTGTAACATATAGAATGTATTCCTCATAAAATGGAAAAAATTTCATTTAAAATCATTTATTTACATTTTAAAGAGGAGTTTGAGAAACATAAAAACATGACTGAATACTTAATAGGGTACTTTATGTAATAACACAGGCAAAGTGTATTCACAGAGAAAGAGGTGCAGGCAATGTGGGAAGATGTTTATCTTTCGTGAGTGCGGATACACAGAGGTATGCCTTGTTATTTACTGAGGAAGTTTCAACATTTTACATATCAGCACAGTATTTACATACAAAGTCAATGTCGGGACAATGTACGTTCATGGAACCAAATTTTCATAAAATGCATAAAATGAATTAGAACTCTCTAAAGACCTTTCTACAATTGTCATCCCTAGACCTGGAAGTGATGTGGAGATGAGATACGCAGCACGAGTTACAAACACAACGCTGACAATTTAAAATAGCTGGGGAGGGTATGGGCACCAAGCCCTGGGCTCAATCCCAGCACAAATAAAATGAAAATTAAAACAACTCCAACAGACTCACATACTAGTTTCCTTGGGAAGCACCCTCATATATACTCATCAGTAACGATGCCTTCCCAGGCTTCCATTCTGTCTAACACGATGCAATTACACCGCGTACCATCAAAAACGCACCAATCCTTCCCTCGACTCAGGCTTTCTAGTCACTTAACATAGCCTTCTTCACATAGAGAATCTCAGTTTGGGAGAGTTCTTTTTAAAAAAATTGGTTTGTGTGTGTGCATACATGTGTACACGAGGAGGCCAGAGGCCAACCTCAGTGTCATCATTCAGAGGCTGCATCCCTCACTGGGATCTGGATCATGGATTTGGCTAGGGTGGTGGGCCAGCAAGTCCTAGAGATTCTCCTGGCCCTTCGGTGTTGAGATGACATGCGTATGCCACAGCACCCAGCTTTTATATGGGTCTTCGTGGTTCTCCGGCAAGCACTTTACTGATGTAGCTCTTTCCCCAGCCCCAGTTTTGGGCTTCCATATTCAGAACTTTTAATTTTTGGTTAGTAATTTTGGAGATTTTAGACTGTGACACTATGCCTCTGGGGATTAGAACTGGCTACTATTACTTTTTATATTATTGTTTTTATTTATGTGTATGTATGGGTGTGTCTGTGTGAGTGAACGTCAGGTTACCCATGGAAGCCAGAAGATGTGGTTGGATGGATCCCTTGGAGAGGGAGTAACAGGAGGTTGGGCGCCACCTGGTATGAGTGCTAGGGGCCAAACTTAGGTTGTCTGGGTAAGAACACACTCTTTACCATTGATCTATCTTCATTATTATTTATAAACTTACTTGATCAAGTTTTTAAAAGATTTTAATTTCCTATCTATCTATCTATCTATCTATCTATCTATCTATCTATCTATCTATCTATCTATCATCTATCTATCACCATCATCATTATCATCTATCTATCTATCTATCTATCTATCTATCTATCTATCTATCTATCTATCATCTATCTATCTATCAATCAATCAATCATAGGGGTATGAGTACATCTAAGTGCAGGTACCCAGAGTCCTGAAGAAGGTGTTTGATCCCCTGGAGCTGGAATTACAGGTAGTTGTCTGTTGCCTGACATGGGTCCTGGGAACCAAGTTCTAATCTTTTGCAAGAGCAGTACATGCTCTTAACTGCTAAGCCATTTCTTCAGCCCCAGAAGTGGTTAATTTAAGAATAGTGGTTAGTTATGGGTTCGTCTTTGGATAGGACATGTACTGAACTGGGTTCCAGGGAGGCAACAAAGTTCTACTGCTTGATTTGGTGGCTGTTAGCCAGGACCACACCATTTTGTGAGGCTCCTCCATTTTAGTTAACTGTGACAATTTCCTAAAGTAATTTGGTTTCCAGAACAAAAGTAACTTGTTTTTCCAGATTCTTGCCCTCCCCACCCTTACTGACCCCTAATAACATTTCACCAGGAAAGATGTTCATCCATTACCTGGCGTTCTTTAACTTACACTCCCTGGTTACCCCTATCATCAGCCAACTGTGGGCTGAAGACAGAAACTTTTCAATCTCCTTCCCACCCACCTTCCTGGGAAAGCTATAAGCAGGGACTGCCATCTGCTACACAGGCCTGACCTCTCCTTGGAGCTGCCACGCTGCTGTCCGCCTGTCTGTGGAGTTAATAACCCTTTTAATAAAGTTCTTACCCCAAAATAACAATGCACCTCAGGGTCCCCCTTGGACTCCAAACCCAGAACTGTTCACGGTGGTCATAAGCAGATCGTCCTGGATAGTTCTGGACTATGTTAAACCGTACATCGATTCTGTGATGTCTCACTTACTCTGTGTACTCAACATAAAAAAACAAACCTTTTCTTGTTGTTTTGTCTTAAAGAGAGCACCACAAAAGGAAGGAACAGGCCAACAGCTTGAGTCTGGTTTGAG